AGTCCAACTTTACTCCCGTCGATTCCAAACGTGTTGTACGGCATGTACACTAAACACGGGGAATGGCTTTAAAAGTTGTATAATCTCAAGTAGATGTAGATGCCACTGGTTCTTCACGGTCTGTAGATGTAGATGCCACTGGTTCTTCACGTTCTGTAGATGTAGATGCTACTGGTTCTTCACGGTCTGTAGATGTAGATGCCACTGGTTCTTCACGGTCTGTAGATGTAGATTCCACTGGTTCTTCACGTTCTGTAGATGTAGATGCTACTGGTTCTTCACGGTCTGTAGATGTAGATGCCACTGGTTCTTCACGGTCTGTAGATGTAGATGCCACTGGTTTTTCACGTTCTGTAGATGTAGATGCTACTGGTTCTTCACGGTCTGTAGATGTAGATGCCACTGGTTCTTCACGTTCTGTAGATGTAGATGCCACTGGTTCTTCATATTCTGTAGATGTAGATGCCACTGGTTCTTCACGGTCTGTAGATGTAGATGCCACTGGTTCTTCACGTTCTGTAGATGTAGATGCCACTGGTTCTTCATATTCTGTAGATGTAGATGCTACTGGTTCTTCACGGTCTGTAGATGTAGATGCCACTGGTTCTTCACGTTCTGTAGATGTAGATGCCACTGGTTCTTCACGTTCTGTAGATGTAGATGCTACTGGTTCTTCACGGTCTGTAGATGTAGATGCCACTGGTTCTTCACGTTCTGTAGATGTAGATGCTACTGGTTCTTCACGGTCTGTAGATGTAGATGCCACTGGTTCTTCACGTTCTGTAGATGTAGATGCCACCACCGCCATCTATTGCACGGCGGTTGAAGTTACGACTCTCGGTCCGAACAGGCAACTGGACGTACGGACCAGGTTTGTTCGTGTCTCTGACAATTCGTAAGTCGGATGTTCGTAAGTAGAGAAGTCCCTGTATTGTCAAGGTACTTAATCCCAGTCTTGTAAATACAGCACGCAACTCCTACAACAAATGCACAGAGCACAGATGAAGCACACACGCGCGGTGATGGTAAGTTTAATTTTCATCACGGTTTGCTGAGCGCAGGCCCAAAACACCAAGCGAACAGCAACAAACATCACGAGTGAAGGTGTAGAGCAGTGAATAGCGAATGTGTCTTTTGTTTTAAATTGAGACCTTTTCGAGCCAAGGCCATGTGTGACACCTGCAGCCACTCGATACCGCTCTACATTCACCACATAGCACATGCAGGGCCCTCCGATTGTCACTCTACTGCTGGATGACGGCCTCCCCGTACTATCGAAGCCACTGGCCGTTCAGTGAGTGTCAGCGGATGGCCTTTGGGGGCCAGAGGGCGTGGGAGCAGGGTACAGGAACGACATTGGACGTGATAATGCAACGCCGACGCCGTAATATCCCCGCCGTTTAACCGCAGTGCTGTCACACACACGCGCACGTAAATACACACGATAAAATTAATCTGTCTTCTTGGTTCTTTCGGTAAAGCAGCCGTCTTCACCTGAAGACGGCTGCTTACGTTGTAGCCGAAACGTCGTGAGAATTATTTTATTATGTTTTATTTTTATTATTTTATTACTTCCCTTCTACGTGACTTTACCGAAAGAACCAAGAAGATGAATCCCTGCAGTCACGAAAGCTTTAAATCGAAAATTAATCCGGCTAATTCTCGAAGAGAGATCGCTTGGGGAAGTGAACAGTCGTCACACAGACCGACAGCTGTCAGAGCTTTCGTCAGCTCATGCACTTTGATATTTTTGGGGGGGAAAGTACGCGTGATGGTGGTGATTATTATGATGATGCCATCAATCACACGCTCACGTCACATCAAAAGCGCACCGGCTCAAAGGGTTCAGTTCTAAAACGGATCGAGGGACAGACACCCAGAGTTGACTCACAAAAAATTCACGGGAATTGCTGTTGACAAAGAATAAATATGATTCATATCCCGTGCGCCTATAAATAAAATTGCATCATATTTTGCCTAACTACTCGGCTTATGTCACGCTCATAATCCTCGTCATTAGTATCACCTTGAGATCAGTCATTGGCATCTCTCGAATGGAATGAAAGTATTTCTAAATAAGCTGCGTGTCGCTCCCCCATTGCGCTCTATACCGGCCACCTGAGTTCGATTCCCAGTCCACGACTGTCATGTCAGTGGTTAGTGATATCTGAACTCCCTGATGGATACCCCCCCCCACCCACCCCAGCAACTGCCCTTCAACAACCCCACAATGACAAAGAGTGGTGAAGTATGATCAAACAACCCTTCCGCTCCCCCTAAAACCACCACACCCGAGGTGACGTGTGGACATGCAGGGAGAGTTCCATGCAGCGGTGAGTGACGAAGCGCTGTAAATAATTATGATAAAGGCCTCGTGTCCCAGCCCAAACGGATATCGTCACCCAGGGAGGTTATTTTAGAGCAGTCCCACGCCCCCCCCCCCCTGCTCCCCTCTCTTTCTCTCTCAATGAAATTTTTTTGTTAAGTGAAAAATATAAATAATGTATATTCTTGGTTCTTTCGGTAAAGTCATTTTTATGATTGTGTTTATTTTGCTTAGATTATTTTCAATTAATTTTAATTTTTAAAATTACATTTGTTTTTTTTTGTTTCTATCTACGTGACTTTACCGAAAGAAGCAAGAATAAAAATGATGAACAAGGACTAACAAAAAATAACAACAAAAAACTACGACGTTTCGATCACAACACAAGCGATTGCCCTCCTTCCACCTGATGACGATCGCTTGTGTTGCGATCGAAACGTCGCAGTTTTTTTTATTTTTATTTTCTTTGAACCCATCTACGTGACTTTACCGAAAGACCCAGACAATATGAATTCCTGCAGTCACGAAAACTTTAAGTCAAGGTGTAAGGACTAACCACAACAACAAAATCACGCGTTACACATTGGATTCCGTCTCGATCTCAACCAAACATGCGCTTGTCCCCGGCAACAAACGTTCAGACATCACTCGCGAATTTAATTAACTTGTAGATTTGAAGCTTTCGTGACTGTAAGGATTCATAATCTTAGTTCTTTCGGTAAAGTCACGTAGGTAAAAAATGAAATTAAAATTAATAAAAAAAATTATTTTATTTTTATAAATTGAAATTTCATTTAAATAAATAAATTCCTAGAAATATTTTTTTCTTTTATTAATTTTCATTTCATTTTTTACCTACGTGACTTTACCGAAAGAACCAAGAGTACGAATTTAAATAACATCGCGTCGACGATTTCTATCGCAGCTCGCGACGTTCATCACCGTCGAGGTTACACGTGGGGAGTTCGGGCGTGAAGACGCCAAGGGGTGGTGACGGAGCCATCGCCGAGCGCTGCGAACGCGACACAGAAGGACGTCGACCAGAGGGAGACGGAGCGATGCGTGACTGTCGGTGGAACCCACCCCCCTCCCACCCCCGTGGATTCGTGGCACCGCGTGGTCGCGAGGGAGACGGGTGCCGCGTGTGTGGGTGGTGTGTGTGGTGTGTGTGTGGTGTGTGTGGTGTACCGTGTGTGTGGTGTGCCGTGTGTGTGTGTTTGTGGTGTGCCGTGTGTATGTGTGTGGTGTGTGTGTGGTGTGTGTGTGTGTGTGGTGTGTGTGTGTGATGTGTGGTGTGTGTGTGTGGTGTGTGTGTGTGGTGTGTGTGTGTGGTGTGTGTGTGTGTGTGGTGTGTGTGTGTGGTGTGCCGTGTGTGTGTGTTTGTGGTGTGCCGTGTGTATGTGTGTGGTGTGTGTGTGTGGTGTGTGTGGGGTGTGCCGTGTGTGTGTGTGGGGTGTGCCGTGTGTGTGTGTGGTTAGTGTGTGTGGTGTGTGTGTGGTGTGTGTGTGTGGTTGCCGTGTGTGTGTGTGTCGTGTATGTGTGTGCCGTGTGATGTGTGTGGTGTGTGTGTGTGCCGTGTGATGTGTGTGTGATGTGTGTGTGGTGTGTGTGTGTGGTGTGTGTGTGGTGTGCCGTGTGTGTGTGTGCCGTGTGTGTGTATGTGTGTGTGTGGTGTGCCGTGTGCCGTGTGTGGTGTGCCGTGTGTGCCGTGTGTGTGCGTGTGTGTGCCGTGTGTGTGCGGTGTGTGTGTGTGTGGTGTGCCGTGTGTGGTGTGTGTGGTGTGTGTGTGTGTGTGGTGTGGCGTGTGTGTGGTGTACCGTGTGTGTGGTGTGCCGTGTGTGTGTGGTGTGTGTGTGTGCTGTGTGTGTGTGCCGTGTGTGTGTGTGGTGTGTGGTGTGCCGTGTGTGTGTGGTGTGTGTGTGGTGTGTGTGGTGTGTGTGTGTGGTGTGTGTGGGTGCCGTGTGTGTGTATGCCGTGTGTGTGTGGTGTGCCGTGTGTGTGTGGTGTGTGTGTGTGGTGTGCCGTGTGCCGTGTGTGTGTGGTGTGTGGTGTGTGTGTGTGCCGTGTGTGTGTGTGGTGTGCCGTGTGTGTGTGATGTGCCGTATGTGTGTGGTGTGCCGTGATTGTGTGTTGTGTGTGGTGTGGGGTGCCGTGTGTGTGTGTGGTGTGCCGTGTGTGTGTGATGTGTCGTGTGTGTGTGGTGTGTCGTGTGTGGTGTGCCGTGTGTGTGTGGTGTGTGTGTTGTGCCGTGTGTGTGTGATATGCCGTGTGTGTGTGGTGTGCCGTGTGTGGTGTGTTGTGTGTGGTGTGGTGTGCCGTGTGTGTGGTGTGCCGTGTGTGTGTGGTGTCGTGCGAATCGGAGGTGGGGGTGGTTAGGACAACAAACTAAACTAAAAACACAACAGTCCTAAAGAAACATGTTTTCAATCTGGAACGACAGCGGCTTGAGCAAGCTTTCATCCAGCAGCGGATCGATCGTGACTTGTGATAACGAATGATGATTCAACGTCAGTCATTCGAGTTTTGAAAACCACCCTGTTGGTGATATCAATCACGCACCTCGTCCCCTCCCTCCTCGAGCCCTCCACGCCCCCGCAGAGGTATGTGAGTGAAACACCACCCACCTCCCACAGGTGTATGCGTGTGTGTGCGTGTATATATAAACACGAGCTTATCCGCGTAGCCGTACACACACACACTGCTGTGCCGCACAAGTGCTGTGAGCGACCACAGAACAAACACGCACACACGCACGCGCGCACACACTTAAAACGCACAACCAGGCACGCGTACCTGTCACACGTCAAGGCACGGCGCTCCTCGATCTCAAGGTGCGCGCCACGTTTGTCTCGGGCTGAAGGGCACACACACGGTCGAGCAGACGAGAAACCCGGCGAGGAGAGCAGGCAGGCAGGCAGGTTGACGGTGCAGTTTGCGGGAGAGGGGAGCCGGCATGTGTCTGCTACTGCTGCTGTACGTGGCCGTGCCGTTGCTGGTGGTCTACGCGGTCGCTTCGATCTTCCTCCTCAAGAACCCTGCCGTGCTGCACAGGAAGAAGAATCTGCACTTCCACTGCAGACACATCTCCCACCGTGGCGGTGAGCAAGCAGCAAGGCCAACCCGGCCACATGCGTACACCTGTACACCTTGAACACCTGAGTAGCTTTCGATTTAAAGCTTTCGTGACTGCAGGGATTCATCTTCTTGGTTCTTTCGGTAAAGTCACGTAGAAGGGAAATAATAAAAATAAAAATAAAATACAATTCTCACGACGTTTCGGCCACAACGCAAGCAGCCGTCCTCAGGTGAAGAACAGGTCTGTCGGAAAGACAGCGTCTGAATGAATGATTGAGACGCTTCATTCAGACACTGTCTTCCCGACAGACCTGTTTTTCACCTGAGGACGGCTGCTTGCGTTGTGGCCGAAACGTCGTGAAAATTATTTTATTACGTTTTATTTTTATTATTTTATTATTTCCCTTCTACGTGACTTTACCAAAAGAACCAAGAAGATGACCTGAGTAGCTCTGCACCTATGCACACGAGTACGCAAACACATACCTCTGCGCATGAACACCTGGGTAGCTCTACACCTGTACAACGCACACCTATGCACATGGACACCCGAGTAAACGCTACGCCTGTGCATCTGAGCACGTGGATACCTGCCGGAAATGAACACTTGCAAAAACGTGAACATTTGCGTAATCTCAACGCGTGTGCATCTGAGCACCTGGGCAGGTGGCCACCACCTGTGAGTACACACACACGTGTACACATCAACACCGGCGCGCCTGAACACTCCACACATGACGGTAGAGTGAAATCGATCTCAAGATAGGCAGCACGGATTGAGACAGCACAGTAACGAACTGGGCGGTACGAACTTGGCAGTAGAGATAGGAACACGCAAACGACACAGCACAGACAGCACAAACTGGGCAGTGCATGTCAGGCAAATAGTACGGATGAGACGCAGTACAGATCAGACAGACTAGGAAGTACACGAGACTCACAGTCCAAACGAGACCCTACAAACTGGGCCGTACATACGAGACTGGAAGTATAAACAAGACGCACGATACAGCACATACGAGGCAGTACACATCGGACAGAGCAAACGATACCGAGAGTCCAGACGGGACAGGCTGAAGAGCGAGTTTATATTACAAAAAGCATCGATTATTCTAAACGACAGTAACCCAGATTCGCGAAACGTGGGGAGTATCGAACAGAAATCATCTCAAGCCTCGCGTCAACCACGTGACTCATTCTCAGCGCCGCCCGCTGTGAAAACAGACGCCGCTCGCCTGCGCAGCAGCAGCGCCGAGGCTTTGATGTAGCCACCATCCTCCTCATTCCCCCTATCCACCTCATCCTCCCCATCCTCCCATCCTCCCATCCTCCCCATCCTCCCATCCTCCCATCCACCCCATCCACCCCATCCCCCCATCCTCCCCATCCACCCCATCCACCCATCCTCCCATCCTCCCATCCTCCCCATCCTCCCCATCCACCCCATCCACCCATCCTCCCATCCACCCCATCCACCCCATCCTCCCATCCTCCCATCCACCCCATCCTCCAATCCACCTCATCCTCCCATCCTGCCCCGTTATTTCTCAGCTCTCTCGCTCTCTTTCCTGCTCCCCCTCTCTTTCTCCGTACGCGCGTGTCCCCCCCCCCCCCCTCCCGTTGTGACTCGTTACCAACCTTCCCGTGGCGACGTTGATGCGCGGGCAATAAGTCGGGCTGCTGTAGGAAGTTTGACAGCGAGACTTCCTGAGCGGCATTGACCGAATCTCGACCGCAAACCGCAACCGCGATCCCATCCATGCCCGCGTGGGTGGCAGAGCAAAACGTATATTAAGTTCACTTGCTTGCTTGCTTGCGCGCTTACGACCGTGCAAATCTTTCGGTCGTTTTTTAACCCACTTCCCGTGATCCAATCGAGCTGACATCTTGCACACAGACTCGTTGTGCGTGAGAATTTATTTTCGTGAAAATTTTTTTCCAAAATTTTACACTTTTTAGGAAAAAATTAATTACATTTAATTACCAATTGCTTAATGGTGGCAGGCAATCATCTGACCCATAGGTGGCAGCCATCTCAAGCCAGAGGACTAGAGGACTCTAGCCGCCACGCATATAAAGGATTTATAGTGTAAAACTTTATTTTTACGGGTTAATTTTTTTCGTGCCTAGTCCGGGTTCGAGTGGTGGGGGGGGGTGGGGGTGGTGTGTGCACGTCACACGCACGCGTGCGGTAGGTAACGACGGTCAACGCGAATGGCAAACACATCAAACATATCGGCAACAACAAAAAGCTAAACATACAAAAAAGTATGCGGGATCACGCTCGGCTTCCGTGCAGCCGAGCGGGACAGCGTTGGCTGCGGCGGGGTCAACCCCCCCCCCCCCCCCAGTTCCGAGTTCAACATCCAGCGGTGGAAAAAGTGACGTCCGACACGGGTCCTGGGGGTCAACGAGAGTTGTTCGACCAGTACACTTCACCGCCCCGGTCAGCGTTGGGCTGGCGACGGGCAGAGAGAATTTCACTCGTTCAAGGTGCCGGACTTGAGGTCACCGTACTCCTGGGGGGGCCGTCCATAAATGACGTCACGCACCTAGGGATGGGGGGGGGGTCAGACATTTGTGACGATGTGTGACGAGGAGGAGGAGGGGGGGGTTTGAGAAATGTGACGTCACATCAAAATGCGCAACTTTTAATAAATATAGACAACACGTTCTACTTAATTACATAGACTTTTTAATAAATGTTTTCTCCTACAACATCAAAGTGCAGCGCCACATTAAATACGCACTACAATGACAATCGTTTAAAGCGATTTGAAGCATGTTGGATTTTGGGGGGGGGGGGCAGAGCTTTGTGACGTCATATTTGAGGGGGGGGGGGGAGTCAAAAATCGTCCAAAATCGCATAACGTCTCGATTTAAAGCTTTCGTGACTGCAGGGATTCATCTTCTTGGTTCTTTCGGTAAAGTCACGTAGAAGGGAAGTAATACAATAATAAAAAATAAAACATAATAAAATAATTCTCACGACGTTTCGGCCACAATGCAAGCAGCCGTCCTCAGGTGCTTGCGTTGTGGCCGAAACGTGAGAATTATTTTATTATGTTTTATTTTTATTACTTTACTACTTCCCTTCTACGTGACTTTACTGAAAGAACCATGAAGAAGAAGAAGATCGCGTAACGTCATTTATGGACGGCCCCTGTTGGGAAATCGGTGGGGGCCACCCAAACGTGGACATCGCAGGCTCAACCCCGCGTTTAGCTGCCGAGATGGGACGGGTCAGGCCGCATTCCGGGTGACTGGGTCCGTCGTGGGGAATGTTTTTGTTATCCGAATAAGGTCGCTTTAAGTGACGACACCCTTGTACATTTGAACACGCAGTAGGCTTTCGCGACCAATGTTATCTATGATACAGGGTTTTTTTTTGGAGTTCCCGTTGAACAATAACAGGGAATGCTCTTTTAGTGCACACAATCGACAGGAGGTACACAAACAACGGGCATGCATAATGCGCATGCATACCGTACGCTGATTACCATATAAATAGTCGAACCGGCAATGGATACCCACAGCCGTTTAAATGCGTAATCATTAATCCCATCCCCCACTTCGCGCAAGAACAGCAAAACAAGTGACGTCACTCTTCTATTTAAGTAACGAAACAGGAGGATTCCTCCACATACTCTGGCTGTCGCCTGATGAAGCTGGTTGTAATTATTGGCGAATCGTTCAAAAATATTGTGGCTTGGCTCTCCAACACACCGGTGTAGTGCTGTACTAGTGACGAATTGGCACGTTCTGTTTACGTGACAAACCTTACTCATTGGCTGTGTCGGGTGGTGGCGGGTTTAACGACACATCGATATATCTAAGCGATCTAACACAACAACAACAACCTGTATTATGGACCCTTGTCATGGGCAACACGGCCATTGGAGCTAGAGATATTGCTTTCAAAGGTTGTGACCCCACACGCTTTGCCAAAAGTTGGCACGTTCACGTGGCCTCGCCCTCCGGGCGTGCACCTAGCCTGGCACGGTCGCCGCGGTGACGTCACCGCCACTTGGTGAAGAACAGAGGCTGTTGGGGTGCTGTAGTTAGTAGTGGCTGGATTGTTGTTGTGTGTGTGTGTGTGGAGGATTTATATCGTAACTTAGCAAATGCCCCCCGAGTGAGTTGACGGCACAAAGTGTGAGTTGTTCAAATTAATTATTACATGCCCTGCCAATGAGGGCAGGGGTTATTACCGCTGTGTGGATTTCTCAGCCACGGTTTAAAAACCAACTCCTGTAACTTTTAACTCGTCCGTTAGTAATTAAATTGCCAGGGTGATGGGGGAGGGGGTTTTAGTGTCATGTGAATTCCACTATCATCTAAGTTCGACTCCAGGCCGTGGAGAACGTGAATGCGGGCAGAGTGATATTTGAACCGGTGATGCAGGGAGCCTTCACCACCAGCCTGCGCTGGCCAGCGTGGTGAAGTATGGTTAAACATCTTCTTGGTTCTTTCGGTAAAGTCACGTAGAAGGGAAGGCTGCTTGCGTTGTCGCCGAAACGTCGTGAGAATTATTTTATGTTTTATTTTTATTATTTTATTACTTCCCTTCTATGTGACTTTACCGAAAGAACCAAGCAAGAAGATGAATTCCTGCAGTCACGAAAGCTTTAAATCGAAATATGGTTAAACAATCAGCGCGAGGGTTGACAGCGGTGTATTGACAAAGAATACATTAAGATTATTATTACGAATATTACGTTCATGAATAGGGCGCTGATGGCATGACGGCGATTATACAATCGGCTCATTTTGCTTGAGAACCGACTCAAATGTGGCAGTGGTTATGTAATGGATGTCGGTGGTGCTGCTCGTGGAACAACAGCACTTGCCCCAACAGGTTGCTAATGTTTCGATTTAAAGCTTTCGTGACTGCAGGGATTCATCTTCTTGGTTCTTTCGGTAAAGTCACGTAGAAGGGAAATAATAAAATAAGAATATATTATTTTATTATGTTTTATTTTTATTATTTTATTATTTCCCTTCTACGTGACTTTACCGAAAG